AGGATGACTGAAAAATCAACGTTGCTTTACGAAATAGAATGTAGGTTAACTAAGAAAAAAATATATTAACAAAATGAGTGTAACTGAGATAAAGATGTTAAAATGGATTAGTGGTATGACCAGTAAAATTAAAGTTAGAAAGGAATACGACAATAAGATAAGCGTAGAGTAGAGAACCCATTAGAGGTAAGTTGAAAATAAATAGATTGAGATGGTAAGACTGATGGACTGTTAGAATTCAACACGATCATCTCAAGGTTGTGGTTATTAATCTGAGGACACCTATTTTGTGCAAATAATGTCAAATGTTAGGTTTATACTCAATTAGATACTCCCAACCCTCTTTTAATGGGGACTAAACCGAGTGTTATATATACAACCTTGATAGGGTACAATGGTGAAAACAAATGCTTCGATAAGCAACTAAAATTTTAGTAACAAATGAAATAAAAACATTGATACAAGAATCAACAAAAGTGGACAAATCATCCAACCTAATGATTAGTAGAACATAAAGTAAAAAGCAAAAGGCTTGACAACTGGATTCATGTTACAGTCCACTAGATGCCTTCCAACTCGCCATGATACTAAATAACGGAATATTATCAAGTTCTTTTGCCATGGATGCCAAAAAGGAAGCTAAGAAATAAAGATAGTCCGATAAACCGTCCACATCCTCCAAATTGTCTTCAAATATTATTGCATTTCTCTTCGCCCATAGGACCTAAATTGTTACAAAAAAGGCATAATGCCAAAGAGTCTTCCCTCTTCCACTTCCTCTCAAACCCATAAAGTCCGAACAAATTATAGATAATATAGATCTCAAAATCACCGAACAAAGACCAACTAACTCACACAATTTATTCCACAGTGATAAAGCCATGGGGCAATGGAAGAATAGATGATCCACACTCTCACTATCCTCTCTAAACATCACAAACCATTGAGGTGAAAGACATGTTTAAGATTGTTTTCTTTGAAGAAAATCACTAGTATTGATCTTACCATGAATGATTAGCCATTCAAAAACTTGTACTTTTAGAGAAACATTGAAATTTCAAATCTTGAGGATGGATGAAATAATGGTTGAGGTAAATTAGCAATTAATGATTTGAAGTAAGATTTACAATAGAAGACGCTCGAGGGATCACTAATCCCAACTCTTTTATCCAAAGAATTCTGAGACAGAGACTTATTGAGCATAGTAAGAAGTAACAACTCCGAATTTTCCCTATCATTAAGATATCTATTGAAGCCAATCCCAAGACACCGGAAAAGAGTAAGATGTGACAAAAGATGCAATGCATTTCGTGTTAGAACAAGAGATATGATAAAGTCGAGGACTCCCCTCCAAATATCCTTAATACCCTCTTAAAATGAACTCTAGACTCATCCCCCACCTTGGAACTTACTCTTTGAGAAAAGTTAGGTAACCCCAGAGAAATGAACATCCAAGGACTTCAGAAGGTCCCTATTCAACCCCTTGTAGCATCCCGCCTATTAGCCCGAAACCCAAATGGTGGAAATGAATTCATGAAGCTGACCACCAATAATGGGACAAACGGTTGGTTGAGTTGGTTTGATTTGGTTTATGGTGTTGAAAATTGCATGGATGCTTAAGTTTGAGAATGCTTGCTATTACCTTCTCCCTCGTCTCTTTCATCCTTAGTGAAGCTTGATTATTTCTGTGGATTCTTAACTTCAAGTGCACATTGTCACCTTTGTTTGTGGGTTTTGAGTTGGAAGTCATTTGTATCTTTAGTTTCATATTTTATTTGAGTTTTAATTGTTAAAATTTAGAAAACATGCTATGTAGTTCTTCTTCTTGCTTTTTTTTAGAAGCAAGGCATATACCCAATTAGAATGAAATTGGTTATGTTGCTTCCATGTAGTATTATTGCAACATTGCTTTTGTTTCCCAAGTATAAATTTGGTCTTTGTAAATCATGCTGGGATTTGCCATACTTTGACCATAGTAATAGCTTTTAGCTTGGAGTATTCATGGTTGCTAACCAATCAAAAAATTGTAATAAATGGAGAAAGTATTAATAAAGTTGTAAAAAAAAAAGAGATAGTAATGTATATCTGTTTCTGTTTTTTGGATAAGAAATGAGAAAATAATACTAATGATAATAGTTATGAGTAGATGAGAGGAGGAGTCTTCCAATAATACAACATAAAAATAAAATCAAAAATAAAAATGAGACTCATAGCATATTAAAAAAAGACAAAGTAGAAGAAGACAAATAAATGTAAAGGTTCGATCTTACTCGTTTAATGATTTTGAAAAAAAAAGTGGAATCCTTTGAATTCTTTCAACTTGAAAGCTCTAAGTGATGCATGAATGATTTTAGCCCCCAAATTTTCCCATGGAGTCACTCTTGTCAAAAATCTTCCTGTTTTTACCGGACTCACCAACCTAATATCATAATCTCACTGCTTCATAGAGTCTTTGCTTTGTTACTTATAACAAGGCCCTTAGAATCAATAACTGATACCGACTAACGATTTGTAGGAATCACCAACAGAGCCCAAAAGTTATCTAAAATTGCTCCAAAAATTAGAAATAGAGGGACAATGTAAAAATTAATGGTCCATAAATTCATCCCCATCTCACAAAGAATACACCATTGTGGGTATAGGGAATAAGATGGTCTTCTATTTGGAGCAAATCATTTGTGTTGAGTTTCATATGTGCAAGTAACCATGCAAATACTTGAAGCCTTAAGGGGGCCTTACACTTCCATATTATAATTGAAGGTTGGAAAATTGGAAAACTCCGCTTACCAACATGAAATTCAGAAAGATACTTACATGAAAACTCTCTAGTGAAGAAGTGCCTATATTCTAAGATCCAACGAAGAATGATTCAACACAAGATTATTAAGAATCCCCAAAAAAATGACATTTTAAGATGCCAAAAACTTCTCTTTCATTCAAACTCCAAAAGAAATCTTAGTTCCAACAAATTAGGGATGAAAAAGATGGCATGCAAGCTATAGGTGAATTAGGGATTCTAGACAAATGATAAAGATGGGGGAACATGAATGCAAAAGGAAATCACCGATTCACCCCCCAAGAATCCTTCCAAATCCTAATCCTCCCCGCATTACCAACAACATATTTAACAAGTATTGGACACGTGTTAGGCACACAGGCCCTCGATCTTTATTGATCTGTAGTATATTGCTTTGTATTCTTAAAACTAACCCAGTGTTTTTTCTCAAAAACAATTTATTAGGGAATTTTTGTAATCGACATAATTTAATGAGTCACATGAATCAAATTGGTTAAGATTGATGTCTAATGTTTGAACATTGAATAAGATCAAGCTGGTTAACTTGAGATTACTTGAAGAATGAATTGAAGATATATGAAGACGTTCAAGCCAAACTCTTGACTATCACACATCAGTTAGGTTTGGTAAGTGAACCTAGTACCTTAGTTGACCATGATCTTAATTGGAAAATGTTTTTAAGACTTAATTTAGGTGATGCATACTTAACTTTTTAAATGCAATTCAAGGCTTAAGTATTGGCCACATTCAAACAATATCTTAGGGAGCTTGATTGAGGTAATTTAAACCAAGTTCATTTTCTTCCAAGTAGCTAGCGCTTGTTTCACGTGGGCTATTTGCTTGAGGGAGGCTTACAATATTAGGATCTAATGAACTATTCCAGCTCACTTGACGCTTGAGTGGTGTCAGGCGCGCTTGAGCGAGAAGGCATGCGCTCTGGCGACTGTGGCGTGTCAGAATCCTAATTGTGCTAGGAAATCTTCCAAACTCGGTGTTAGGGCTTCACTTTTTATAAATTAGACTATAGGACGTTTGTTTATGACCAAGGAGCCTTGTGAGAGATTAAAGGGTAGACCTGAGAGTGGTCTAAACCTTCAGCACTATTTTTGTTTGACAATTTACAAATCAGAGTGTGTTCTTGCGAGTTTTAACTGATTTAAGGTTCAAATATTTGACTGGGTTGTCTGAATACCCTAGTCACCCCATTGCTTCAGAAGAACGAGTTTGTTAAACTCATCATCAACCTGGAGATTGCCTTGAAGTTCCAAGGCGGACTTCGAGGATCAAAGGATGACAAATCAACAAGCGTTTCGGTGGAGCGTGATCTGAACCCATAATGGAGGAGTTGGTGTTCTATGAGTTGAACTGCAATAGAGAGTTTTCTGGGAGGAGTATTAAACTAAAAAATAGCTAGATATGCGGTTAGAGGGGTTTGCAAGTATTTGCGTTTATACTACTAATTTTAATAGTGAAGGGTACTAATTTTAATAGCGAAGGGTTTAGGTTGGACTTGTTGTCGTGGTTTTTTTTACCTTAATTGGGTTTTTCCATGTAAAAATCGGTGTGTTTTTTTTTGCTCTGTTGTTTACTTTATAGTGCGATTTTTAGATTGTAAGTGGATGGCAGTTTAGGTCGAAACTGAATATAATTGAATTGAAAATCAAGACAAGACCTGATCACCCACGTAGGTCCATTTAGAGTTTACTAAGACATTGTTCCCCGCAATCTCACCATTTTTCCTTGCGCATTTTCTTTCTTTCTTTCTTAAACAGCTAAGGAAACCTGCCCATCTTGTATAATATGATGATAAAAACCTGTGCAATCCCTAATACGACCTCAAGTCTCTTGTAATTATTATTCTACTTTCGATGTGAAGACACTAATTGTGGGTTCTAGCTCTTAGAGCATCTTTTAGGGAGGATGAATTTGTTAAGTGACAGATTTATGAGTCTAGGGCGTGTAAATATGTAGCTATTGAAGCATAGAGGAGTGAATGCCAGATAGCTTTAATTCTTTTGGAGTGTAAGTGCTATACAGTAGGACTACCGGCGATAAATATTTTAGCAATAGTAACATTGTATCACTTTCTATTCGAAACACTACATTTTGTTGGTGAGTTGCATACATTTCTCTCTATATAAGATGTATGCTGCAAAGGCTTTCAATTCTTTGATCTAACTGTTTAACCTTTTGTTTTTACCAGGGTTACTACAAATTGGCCCATAGTTTGAGTTCAGATTTGCCTGGTGTTGCTCATGCAAGCTCTCTGTCTAAGATTGGTATTTCTGCCGAAAGTGAAGGAATGCCATGCCAAGATGAATTTTTTAACTCTGGCCAATGTGCTGATAGATCAGTGAATCTTGATTCTTCAAATGGCAGAGTAATGCTTATTGATGGCACATCTATTATTTATCGAGCTTACTACAAGCTTCTTGGTATATTGCACTACCCCTTTTTTGATTGTTGTGCAATATCTTCTTTAAGTAAAATTTGCATTTGTCTATTTTTGTACCATTGTTGCATTGTTTTTGGTGCAGTTGTTGGATAAGATAGCTGTTTTGCTTTTCATTATATTATATGTGATTGGATTTCTTATTGACATGCTGACTTGTAATACGTAACACCGCTGTTTTAGCCTTTTAGGTCAATATTCTAGTTTTTTTTTTGAATCCTATCAACAAAAGATATTCTAGTTTTTGATGGATAGCTACCCGACAACTTTTAAGCATTTTAAGTGCAGGGCATAATTTCCTTGTTTAATGGGTGCTAGATTTAGGGTCTGTTTGGAGGCTATATTTCAAGAGAAATGATAATAAAATCATTTAGTAATATGTTTTTTTAGCATTTCAAAGAAATAATTGATTAAACCATAGTTATGTATGTACCAGGTTTATGTACATTATACACTATTCATGAATAGTGTTTAGCTTTTAGACTTGAAAATGTGATACCATGTAGCCTTAGCTTTGTATGCTTCAAAAGGATAAAGTTGAAATCTTAAGATGTGATGTTTTAGGGTTTAGATTGAATAGGAGGCAAGAGAAAGAAGTAAAAGAGAAAAACAATTAAAACTAGGGTTAAGGAGAATGAGAGTTAGCGAGCCTCTCCTCTCATATTTATATTAGCTCATAATAAAGTGAAGATTTACAATAATACCCTTGATTGAAATAATCTAATATTCTACAGATAACTACCCAAGGAAGCATAGATACAGATACAATACGATATTGATATAGTGATACGACAAAACTTAAATAAATAATATACGAGTATAGTAATAATACGTCTATAATAAAATATATTTTATATTTTACTATTATTGAACGACTTAAAAATTATAATTTTCAATATTTCTTTAATAGTAGTAAGCAAAATTAAGAATTTTTTCGTTGAAAAAGATGTAATACCGTTTCATTATAATATATCTATAAAATGAGCACGACCAATTAAAGGAATCAATGCCACATTTAACTTGTTGGTTTGTTTATTGGTATTTGTTTTAAGATTAGAGTTTTTTTTAGGTCCAAAGATTTTAGTATTACTAACTCATTTTTTTATACTCTTTTGACATGTAATAATAGATAATTCTTAAAAAATAATTGTCTTTAAAATCAGATGAAATATTGTATTGTATGTGAACGCGAAAGGAGAGGGTATAGATTAAAATTAAAAATTGTATATCTTATTCCATATTCAGAAGTATCCACATATTTATTAATTATCGGATACGTATAATCAAGGATCAAAATTTCGTTTCGAAGTACCGTTTCGGTCAACTCAAAAATAGAAACGTTTCGGAAACATTTCGGAAACGCAATGGAAACGCAGAAAAAATATGAAAACGCATAGAAACACAAATGCAATCCATTAATTTATAAAGATATGCTAAATAATTTATTAATTCAACATATTTATTAGGTTAACATCAATTTATACAAGAATAAATTTAAATTTGAGGAAAAAAAGGCTTGACTTGAGACGAAAGTCACTTAAATTAGTTTCAAACACTTAATTTTTATGAAATAAACACATTTTTACATAATATTAAGATCTTATAATACACATGAAATGCTAATGAGTACATACTTACATGGTTACATCCATTCCCCTGTGGAGTGTCGAGCAGGCTCATACATCGGTGTAGGCTCTGGGTAGCTACTTAGAGAAACTCTATATGTGACATAAATATGATGACAATAGTTACTCCAAATCATATTATTACGGTAATATAATCCAATTAATAATACTATTTTATTATAATACTAATAATGAAGGGTATCAAATTAAATTAATGATACTTATGTATACTTAAAAATTAAATGTAATTGCAGTGGGTATTAAATGTAATTACAGTAGGTATTAAATATAATTACATTAGGGTATTAAATGTAATTGTTAATACTTATAACAAAAAAAAAAATAAAAAACTTGCACAGCAGTGAGGTATTAAATATAATTATAGTATGTATTAAATATAATTATAATGGGTATTAAATATAATTATAGTAGGGTATTAAGTGTAATTATTTATTCTTATAACAAAAAATTATAAAAGACAGAAGAGCAGTGGGAATTAAATGTAATTATAGTGAGATATTAAATATAATTATAGTGAGTATTAAATGTAATTACAGTGGGTATTAAATGTAATTATAATGGGATATTAAATGTAATTATTCATAATGAACCGAATATATCACTGTTTTGTCGAAACGGTTCGAAACAATGCCGTTTCGACCGAAACGGTCCGAAACAGTACCGTTTCGACCGAAACACTGGAATTTTGTGATTCAACTACTGTTTCGTTTCGGAGTGTTGAAATTCCGAAACGTTTCGGACGTTTCGGACGTGTCGACACGACATTTTGATCCTTGCGTATAATGCTTATCCGATACATATTCTCGAGTATCCGACGAGGATCGTATCCGATACGGTTACGTCGACCTTGATGAAGTATCCATACTTCGTAGACAATTACTATCAACATCGTTCCTTAGAAACGAATGTACAACCTCCCGCGAGGGACAAATTAAAGGATCAATATGGTAGTTAAAAGAGAGATAGTTTGGTTGAAGTACTTGCCCGATGAACGTTGCCAAACCAGTAAACCAGTATATTACATGATGCAGGCTATCAGTCAGTGATTGTCTGTCATTATTTTTAATAGCTTTCAAAGGAACCACTTCGAGTGCTTGGCCTTCGTATTGTTCTTCTTGAGTGTAGTTGTTTGGCGTCTAAATGATCTCCTTTGTTTTCAATGCTTTCCTATGTACACATGCATATACATATGTATTCTGATGATTTACTTTAGTACTTAGTCTGCGTGGCCTGTGTTTCAGATTAATGTCTGTGAAGTACCTTGAAAACTTAATAATTGGAGTGCATTTTTTGTTAGCAACTAGTCAGTTCTTTAAACAAATATAAACAATATACAAATTGTGTTGTCTTACATTGACAATGGAAATTTAAGGATGGCATAGGGAGAGAGAGGAAAAACTTTATTTTCTAACTATGGTATAGCCTTTACCCTCTACCATCTTTACCACATAATTCCCTCGAACATGCTTTAATGGGTGCATTCATTTGTCTTCTCCAGCTGGCTCTGTGTGAATGAATCCTTGTTTGTGGTCATGTCAAGTAATCCTTGAAAGAGTCCTAGAGGGAGGGTACAGAGGGGGCAGATTGAATAGTGTTAGAGGCTTAGAGTATCTTCTCTTTTCCTTTTTTGTTTTGCTAGGAAAGTGGGAGTTTGCATGTGCGCCCTACTGGTTCACTAATTAAAAAACTAATTGGCAATGAGTGGAGAGGACCCTCTTCCATATAAACCAATCTTGTATGGCTCTAATCTTTTGAGGTGGCATTCGAGCTCCCTATACACCCTCCCTTGTGTGGACCCGGGATTTCATTCGGCTAACAAACAAACAAGTAAACATGTTTATCGTTCAAATGCGCCAGACTCGGCCCACTTACTACCTAAGGCCCAACTTTGACATGATGTTAGAACATCCAGCCCACAATCTATTGGCAATGAGTGGAGAGATCTCTCATCCATATAAACGAACCTTGGGTGGCCCAAATATTTCTACCTGGGATACAAATGCTCTTTGCAAATAGGACTACTAAATATTCTGTAAGTCCTAATTATCACTTTCTGCACCTTTTAGTTCAAGCCTACGGTACTATTTAATTCAATCCTTTGTTAATTGCTTCTAATAATGCAATTTCTATTATTAAATTAAACCCTAGGTTGATTAAGCAGTGCTTAAAACAAATTCTGCTGTGTGTCCTGGTTGATTTGGTTTGGTCGACTGGTCCAAGAACTTGTCAATTAGGCTTAATGGCAGAAGCTCCCAGTCTCTCTCATTTTGGTGTTGCTTGTTGAAGTGTTTATCAATCGTGCCTAAAAAATTAAAATCCATTGATTTCTATGGCTATTCAAATTTGCAATTCATGCATTATCAAAAATCAATTTTGAAGTTGGGTGTGATTATGCAGCTTCTATCATTAAAACATTTAGAAGAACAAGTAAATATGAAAACAAGTAAATGACAAGTGAAGGCACATTGTTTAGTGGTTCAACTAACCCTTTGGCTCACACCACTCTTCCAAACTTCACGGTTGGGCCTCAATCCACTACTTATGGTTTTTTAAGCTAAGCCAATAACCTTGTGGTTTTTAAATGGGTAAACCACTTTCTTACCCAGATGTTCCTTTATTTGGGATTTCTTGAAGATTTTATCTAGGCTAACCTGCAATTAATGAGAAGAAGTACCTCGATGGGTTTTCTCTTGGTTCATTCAAAGCCTCCTAACACCACCACTTTACCTTAGTCACTTAGTTATAGTCTCTCGTTCAGACAAGCTTACATGCAAATTGCAATCCAAGCTCACGACGACTTTCAGGCTTACCATGAGCTAAGCCTATCTCTAGTGTGCAGGGACTGGGGGAATTAAGGTGTTTAAATACACGTATGAAAGCAATTTTTACCTCAAGAAACAATAGTTAATGCTGTGCAATGTTTCTCTTCAAATTCTTCAAACTAATGAGCTTTGTGGTGGTGAGGAAATGATGTCAAGTCTCGCTAAAGCTTTCCGAAATCACTCCCCAAAGAGGCTAGCTAATAAGTATGTATGGGATGTTACAATCACACAACAGGAGATTGTCCACTGACATCTGAGATGGTGTACATAATGGGTGCACCTACAGCTAATCCAACAGTCGGATTCTTTTAGAATCTGACGGGGTTAATTGACTAGCTCTAGGGGCCAGTCGACTAGGACTAGTATTGGAGGCTAGGTGATTAGCTTTGTTTCGTCCAGTAGACATTCAGTTGATATTTAGCCAGGGCAACTTTCCTAGCCTTTTTTTGGGAGTAAGTCT